ACACCTGTCTTTCAAACCAAGACACTGAGACAGTGCAGTGAACTAGCTGAGATGCCAGATGAAGCCCAGAGCAATCTCAACAGAAGAGCACACGACTGTGGCCAAGAGCTGAAATGCACAAGGAAGACATGATGCTAATGGCTGCAAACTTTCTGACCAAGGTCCATGAGACAGCTGAGCCATTCTTTATTGTGATAAGCTGCAGAACATGTAAGACTCTCAACTGAATGCTTTTAGGTAACAGAGAGGCTATGGAGGTATCTTGTTTAAGTTAAAAAACCAATCCAATCACTCAGGCCAGGGACTGCTCTTACCCCTCAGCAAATTCCATTGCAATGAAATATGATAGAATAGCATCTCTGGTAGCTGGCTCCCTGCCTCCCCCTCAGCTAGCCAGTCCTATTTGGAAGGCATGACAAAGACCCCCTCCTGATCTTGGATCATGCAGCTAAGGTACTGAATTCTTCATTACTGCCATCACTGGAGATCAGAAAAAGGTTACTGATACAATATATAAGAAGATTCAATACTGTATCTCTAAAATACCCATTCTTCAGAAGTTTTTAAAGAAGAAATTTGAAACAGAAGTAGAAAACCACCACTGTGTCTCAGTTACCAGTAATTGCACACAGATTCTAGATTCTGCATGAAAGCACAGCTGCCACAAGCACAAACTGTGCCATTCCAAGGCCTCCATGGAAGATGTCCTCCATGAGAGGCACTGGCCTAGATGAGAGACCCTTTCCTCCACTTTACGCAGCACTACATATAACAACTCATCCTCCCCAGAGGACAGTCCCAAAGCTTTCTGGGCAAATGCAGCTTCCTCAGGATTTAAACAACTAAAGAAAAAGGCCCGGACCAGAATTCTCTGTACAGGAGAGCCAATTCAGAGAACACACAACAGCTGCTGAGAACAGGATTAGAAAAAAATCTAGTCAGCAGCCAAACTCAGCAAGAACCATAGCTTTCCTACTCCTTTTACCTGTAAAGGTCTGTAGAGAGCATACTCATCTCTGAAGAGCTGATCATGATGACTGACACATTCTAGCCACCGTCCATCAACCAACGCTTGTCCTATTGCAATGGCTTGGACCCTGGAGGTATAAGAACAGAGATGGTTTTCTAAGTCTAGTTCTAAACACACATGTTTTATGGCACAAGCATGCTACAAAAGGAGAGTCATTAGCTACACACTATTTGACTCATCACTATCCCACTGCCATGTTTAACCAGACACTACTTAAAATATTGTGGAGAGGCAGCAAAGTGTACTGGTTCAAGCATGGAGCTAGATGAAGAGACTGCCGGTACTCTAAACTCAGCTGAGGTGTCCAACAGACAATTAAGACATACTGTTTGTGCTCCTCCGATATTGTTAGCTTGACTTATAAATACTGAGGATCTCTGCTGAGTGAGGACTGTTGCTCTACACTTAAGAACCACTTCAGTTTTATCCCCCTCTCACATAGTTAAATACACCAGATTCTTTATACTCACAAGGTCAAGAACCTGCCAGCCCCACCAAAAATTTAGCTATCAAACACTATTAGTGATCTCTGACCCCAGGGGCAGACTTGCCCTTTAGAGTACCGGTGAACATTTTTGGACAGTCTTTTTAATACATTTATCATTCTCCAACTATTTGAGTGATATTTGTCCCATAAGCTGCCTCCCACACCAGCTCCCAAACCAGATGGCCCCCTGTGCCCTGTTGTTTTGGGCCATAAGAAGTCAGAACCCTACCTGTTCCGGAAGGCAGTAAAGAACGTATCTGAACTTCCTTTCTTTCTCATCTTCCTGCAAAGGGGTCTACCTCTTCAGTCTAAAGTACGCTAAATCAGCTAAAACTCACAACCTCTTGTCACAGAGACAGGAGACACCTGCTGTCCTAAAGCATCAGGATTACCTTGTGGTTATGTGCCCATTTCTGATGAGCCAGTTGACCAGCTCTTTTCCCACAATGCAGTTGGGATGCGTCCGCAGCCAATAGCGGTGGTCTTGAAACTCCATCCCACTGTTGTGGTGACAGATTTTCTTCCACAGATCTTTCAGCTGGACTGAGTCCTAGACAGGGAGATGAGCAAGTTACTTACTAGTATGACCTTAGCACTGGTTTCAAGGGCATCAACCTAAGCCCCCAGATCAGCTTCTAGATCGAGTCCTCCCGAAACAGGCATAAAATCTAAGCCCTTCTGTACAACCTATGTGAAGGTGCAAAGAGAAACAGCAAGCAGACATGAGATCAGCTCCTTATATCCTTCCTTTTATATAAAGTTGAGAATAAGGAAGAAACAAAGTGGGTACCCTCAGAGTTAAGGGAGATTTGTTTTTAATGTGGCAAGATTTTGTACTTCCTACAAGATACTTATGTCCTCGCTACTGCCCTCTTGCACCCCATCCTCAAACTCAGGTGCTGCGTGTAAATACAGAGGACAACGAAAACTCACCCTTCAGAAGAGGGTTTTTCTACATAATCTGTGCTCAACCTAGGCTTTGTGAAGCATACAAGTCCATTATCAAACCCAGATATAAAGTAAGTACTTGACATAGCAATGCACATTGCTATGTTCAGGTTCTGGGATACCATTTCTTATTGAGTATTCCTTATTTATTGCCCAGTATCAAGCCTTTTTTAGACACTGCTAGCTTTGGCCAGTAAGCAAAAAAGGTGTGTATGCCTCTAAACTCAATTGACCGTTTTGAAATCTGTGGATCATTTCCCCTCACCACTTAGAACACTTCAGCCTATACCTCAAAACTTATTTTCAGGCCTGTTAAGCATGTGCACCAACTCTTGTGTAGGCTATGCTGCATACAAACTGAGCTATCTCTCTGCACCTGGCCCCTTTTGCTTTCCTATATGCACCCTGGCTTGGCACAGCACAATCCATTGTTGCAGAGTGGAAACTGGGACCTGGGATTACTTTGAGAAAGCAACAGAGCACCCCAAGGGGTGGAGAAGAGACACTGCAGCTCACTTTCTCAAATGCCTCACTGGTTCTGTTTTTGTGTAATAGAGAAAAAAAGCTTTAATTAAATTTTAACTGGTTTCAGCTTTCCAGTTAACTGCCAAACCCACATTACTGCACTTTCCCAAGGAGCCAAGATTCAAAAGTTTTGCTCCACTTCTGTTACTGGACTGGCTTTCTGCTTTTATTTCCAGCAGTGGCTGTCCTGGGTATTATCCTAAAACCAATGTCAGTAGCTTCCCTTCCATACCAGGTATAGAGTCAAACAGATCAGTCACAGAACACGTGACAGGATCACAAGATTTGATGCAACTGGTGATTCCATAGTTCATCTGCCTTGCGATTTACCCTTAACTCACATGGTGAATTCTGTAAACTGGACAAACTGGCAGAACATAGCAAATTCTTTCAACTCAAGGATTTTGACCTCTCATTCACGAAGTATGTGCCTACCTCAGTATATGTATATCCTCCCCTACCTTTCATTTAATACAAAAAGTTTATTAGTCTTCTGAATGGAATATATTAAGCTTTAAATTAACTCCTGATATAGAGTCAGCTCTACATGCTAAGGGCATTAAACAAAGAGTGGGAATTCACAGAAAATCCTACATTAGCTGACAGTGCATCTTCTGCTCTTACATGAACAGAAACGATACTACCAATCCTCTTTTCCCCAAGGAAGAAAACAAAGAAAAAAATTAAACAATGTGAAGCTGACGTGCACTGGGACTGACGTGAACTGGTCCAAGTTGCATTCATAACATTTTAAATTTCATTTTTCATGCATTAACACACACATACACGGCAGGCTGGTGTAAAGACATGCCTTAAAATTGTTTCTCCCTCATGTGGTTATCCATTTACAGAGCACCCTGGAAAGGAGTTGTGCAGCTGAACAGGAACTACAGTATTTCTGCACCCTCAGAAATGCTTGTATGCATTTTGCTGACAGCAGGCAAATACCTGGCAACACAGAAATTAGCCTTCCTGAAATTAATTCGGCAATGGGGAGCAATCTTGAATCTTTTAGTGTGTGAAAAACACTCCCTTCCCTTCACTGCATCTTTTTTGCCCCATTTGTTGGAAACACTTCCCCTCCCCTAACGAAAAGAAACATTGTTTTCTACTGAACACTGTACAGTAACTGCCACCTACAATACTGCCTCTGTGGGGAGGGGATAATAGGATTACATAGAACACTGTTGTACATTGATTTTTCTTTGAACGAGCATGTCACTACAACCTTCTACAAAATGTTATGTTTATTCTGCAAAGAAGGGGAAGGGTCAAGTTATATTTTGGCCCAATAAGCTGTGACAGCTTTAACTCATTCATCATGTTTTAACCATTTTGAAGCCGCCATTTAAAGTTTCCAATTATGTGGCCTGTGAAAGGGAAAATCTGAACTTGGAGAAATACAGAATCAGGTCATTGCATAACAGCTGCAACCATGACTAGTTTAACCCACAAGGAGCCACCACACACCAATGCCACACTGCATAACACACTACCCAAGACTAAAACTGCAAACACCTTTATGCAAACACCACATGAAACTATGATTTGTTTCAGGAAGACGGAAGTGTCTAAAGCAGCATCAATATTCTCCATCCCTGCATCATCTGGAGGAGGGGTCCAGGTAAGGGTGCTCAGACAAGTACCTTTAAAGGCAGCAAGATACTCCTGCTGCATCACACAGGAAAGGCAAACTTCATTGCCTTCACAGAGCAAAACAAACAGAAGTCTGAAGCGTACCAGAAGGATTTTGCGCTCATCCTCACTGGTCTCTGCCTTCATATGTGTACGACTGGCCTGGGGGCTGATGGATGTCTCATAGGCAGGCACCATTGGTGAACCTGACCGATCCAGTGACAGGTTAGTGATGCTGGCTGATCTGTAATGGAAGAGAAAAGAATTGAGGTATAAGGGTTCATTGTGCTCACCAGAACAGGCATGGATCTTGTAGCACGCTAAAAGGGAACTTAAGCCTGTGATACTGTTCACTCTCCTCAGTGCAGGCTTACTGCTTAAAGCCTCCTGTCCCATCAAATCAGAAGAAAGGATCCCTAGGAAGCAAGTGTATTGCTTTGGAACATCTCAGTTAAACGAACTTTTGCAAGGCTCTTTGTAGGAAGCAGTAAGAACTAAGTTTAGGCACAGCAATTCAATTGCGTCTGCATTTGAATACACTGGGGAAGGGATGGGATGCTGGGTAATTTGAAGCTCCAGTGGTTTGGAGGCAAGACAGATGCCAGCAAGGGCAGCCAACACCGGGATCCCTGTAACAGGGCACTCTGATTCCCCCCCTCCTTGACCAATTTAAAATTCCTTCTCCTCAGCTCTCTGAAATATATGGCTGACAGCTTGCAGAGCCTGGAAGTTTAAGCACCT